CCAGAGGCCTCAGGACAGGACAGTCCACAGAGTTGAACCCTCTTCAGGATCCCCCAGGACCGAGCTTGCTTCTCATAAAGGCCTCAGGCACATGTCACTTCAGCCCACAGATAAGGCAGACTACCTCTAGATGTGAAGAATATAAACCAAACCACTGGCTGGTTGGCCTCTTGACAGCCTATGGGAGTCCTTGAGTATCTGCCGCCCCCAGGGCAGTTGGGCTTCTCTAAGCCTCACTCAGCAGCTGCAGTTGGGAAGACGGGGCAGCTCTATCTGGACACTGGTGTAGGCCCCTACATCAGTCTCTCTCCCTGATGGAGGCCCATCTTCCTCTCTACATGACCCACAAGCAAGGGGCCGCCTCAATTCAGAGATGCTGGCTGGCCTGACTGCTTGCCGCCCACAGGCCCAGCTCTTTAGACTGTGCACAGCTGATCCTCGAAGACAACCCTTCTAGACTGTGCCCAAGGCCAAGCCTCCAGGTATACTGGGCGCCCCAGCCTCCTCTGGTATGATGAGCCTTCAGAGGCCTTAACAGCCAGGCTAGCCTTAGAGGGCTCTGCCCTTGAGAAACACTGAGAGAGAAGCTCTGCTTGGCCAAGGGTCCTAAATGGAGTGTGGAGGTGTGGCAGGTGCTCAGAGAGGGCTGGGCGGTTTGCAGGTCAGTGTGATATCCTCCACAGGTCCTACCAGATGAGCCATAGCCAGACCTTCCAGAGACTGCTGAAGGATAGGTACTGGGTTGGATGTGGGGTCCTGGGGTAGGCAGTTTCTGTTCTTACCCAGAGCTGTGGCCCCATCCTAAGAGGGGCCCAGAACCTGTGCACTGGTCTCACTGCACCTTGAACCTAGCCTCCCTTGCCTTCTGGGGCTGGTGCTCGGGTGGTGAGAGGTGTAGCACTGGGTCATCCTAACAGTGGGAATGGCTGACCACACATTGGGTGGGGAACGTGTGGGGACCTGCCCAGTATACAGTAATACAGCTGCAGTAGCATTTTCCATTTTCTGGGCAAGAGTAGCCAGAGCAGGACTAAGGGAGCACTGGGTCATCTGCTCAGGGCCAAGAGATAAACCAGCCAAGACAAGGGCAGGAGCAGGTATCACCAGCTCTCGTTTGCTCAGATCCAGGTTGTCAGGCTTCAGATTGAAACTGGTGATGGGGGACATGGGAGGTGAGTGGCAAGTCAAGTGGGGACAGCCATGAAGGCTGAGGCCATGTCAGGGAGGGGAAGAGCATGGCTCCAGCCTAATGTGTCTCCTGGTCATCCAGAACCTCTAGGCACAGCACACAGCTACTGCTGTGGGGCCTGGAGGTAGCTGTGTGGAGGTTGTTAAAGGCGAAGCCTAGTCATAGACTACATTAAAGTCATGTTTCTTTAGCAAACAACCCTCTCTAGACATCCGGGCTGATGTGTGAGTGTGCACAGTATGCATGCAGTAAGCTGTCTACCATTCTCAGAGCACATGCCACTCTGGGCCGTTCTCACACCAAGAGCCACAGGTCCCTGTCTTGGTCCCGGCCTGGCAGCTAACTGATGGAGAGAGGGCCAGGGACATGAGGGATCATCAAGGTAGTAGCCCACGGAGCCCACTCAAGTACAAACACACCAGTGCCACATAGTCTAAGGAGAGAGACTAAGCCTGTGGTTACAAATACTTGAGCCCTGCTTTCCCAGAGTCCTTGATGGAGGAAGGGAATCCCAGGAGCAGAATGTCTCACCTAAGGAAGCCATGGAGCTAGGTGGAAGCAGGAAGGGATGGTGAGAGAGTCAGTTCAGGAGCTCTGCTCAGAAAGTATCAAGGGGCTACCCTGCCTGGGGCTGGACTGCTGCTTCTTCCTAGTAAGACCCAAGGCCAAGAGAGCCCTTAGGGTGAGGGAGGACAGGCCCCCTGGTCAGTACTGTTGGAACCCAGAGAAAAGGTGGCCAGGCAGGCCCTGACCAGGGAGGCCTGGGAGCAAACAGTGGCATTTCCATGGAGATACAGGTGTGCAGGCTAAGGGGCTGGGGAGTGGCCAGTGCCCAGTGTCCACTAGGAGAGTCAGCAGTGACTTGCCATGGCCAGGCAAACCACAGGACAGCTCACAGGGCAAAGAGTGCATCCTCAGACCGCTCTGGCTTCTTCCGGTTGGAAGTATTTGAGGCTGGTGCAGGGGCCTCTGTGGGGGGTGAGGGCAGGTCTGGAACTGTTTCTGCAGCTTTGGCTCGCTCTTCCAGGAACTTATGTGAGGGGTCACTTTGCTCTTTTCTCACACCCTGGTTTCCAGCTCCACATTGGCCTGGCTGCCCTCTGGCAGGAGGTACATGCACGAGGGGGTGGGGATGGGGTTGTGGAGGTGGGAGGGGTTCTGG